TCCTGCTGCAGCTGCGCTCATGCACGTGGCATTTATTAGTAACATTATCGGCCACTTCAGCCAGAAAAAGACTATTGCTGTTAATGTCATTTTTCCTTTTATCTGTGCCGATACAATATGAACTGATGTATCCATGCACCTCTAGTAGGTATGGTGTAAAGCTTCATTATTCTTCTATTACATTACCCTAATAATGTGAAGACAAACATTTAATAGCTAAACCAAAAAAAAAAGCCAGTTAAGCTTGTGCTGCTGGGTGACTAAGTGAACCTTGCTAGAAATGGTCATCTGTCAGAACTACTTCAGGCTGTACTCATTTCTGTTTCCTTGTCTATTGGTTAGCCATTTTAAATTGAATATAGTAGCTGTAACGCCAAACAATTATAACATGTTTTCTTCTTTAAATTTGCCCTACATATTATACTTAACATTTTTCTTTTTGACATTAAGTATTCACGAGGATTTTGTGTCTCAGATTTTTGTAACAGAAAAAAATGCTGTACTATTTTTCTGTAGTCAAAGAACGAGGGAAAACTTGGAACTGTATTCCAAGGGGTGCCCCAAGCCCTAAAAAGGCTGAGAACCATTGCCTTAGACTTGTAAGTCTCTTAAGTTGCCTCCCTGCCCTACCTTCTGGCTTTGGTAATCATAGGAAATATATTGGGATACATTTTTCATAATTCAAAGATGGCACATAAGTCTATATTATTGGGATGCTTAGGTGTTTAATTTTTTCTAATATCCAAATATCCTTAAATCAGACACCCTCGTCATAAAATGCTTGTTATGGTTTCTAAAATACTAACCAGCCTGTAAAACAATACACCAGGAAAATATTTTTTAGATTGGTGTTAGATTGAAAGTACCCTCGCTTTTCCACTTTTTAAAAACATTAATCTAATTGTGTTTGTATGAAATAATAGGTGTTATATTCTTTTTTTTGTGGGGGGGGAAGTTATATCTGTGCCTTTAAATGTAGATTGGGATAAGGAATATTTAAACTGCTTGCTTGCATATTTATTAAGTAAATAATTTTAAGGTAGTAAAAGTATTACTAACTGTGAGTGTGATTTAAGGTTTTTAGATTATACTCAGGAGTATAGTTATAGTTAATTTATATAAGCATCATAGCTAATTTCAGGATAGCAGGGGGCACTTTACATTCACTTAGATAGTTACTGTTTAATATGTTGTTTCAGAGATGGCAGAAAAGCTATGCATTTGGTAATCTGGCCAGCAGGGTGAGTGCTTGCACGCAAAATAGCTTTCCTACCTCAACCGTATGAAGTATATATTCTGTGGAGCTGTAGGGTATGTTCACTTGGCATTCAGTAATCAAATTCAGGATGGGTAGTTGGAAACCCCACCTCCTATTTTTTAAACCTAATTTAGAGTTTCTTGATTCTGTCCCAATTTGTTATATATATTTTGTATCTTCTGATAATATGTTATCGGCTATTGCTAGATCAGCTTAACTGTGATAATTTAAATAGCAGCTCCTTATTTACTATTTCATATTAGTTAAAATAGTAGGTTCTGAAGTTCTGACTTTTTAAGTTTTCTCTGTATGCTATAAAGAAACGAATGAAAGCATGTATTTTGTTTGTTGCAAAATATTTTTTGGTATCGGTGAAGAATTACTTAAGATTCATAGATTCATAGACTGTAAAGCTGGGAGACCTCAGAAGATCACTGGGTCCAGCCTCCTGCACCAAGCAGGACATGATATGACATGCCATTTAAAAATGTAAAATGATGTATTTTACATTTTAGATTGGATTTGAGAACAAACTAGCACTAACTCTATTTCTAAAAACCCCACAAAACCAAAAAACCCCCAACTTGTTTAAGAGTCCATCTTTGAAAATTTAAAATAGTGTGAAAAACTGCATTGGAGCTATGCTGTGATTAGAGGGCAGGTCCCATTCTCTAACTCCAGTCTTATTTCTGTGGAGGGATAATCCTCATCTTTTCCCTGTACTGTGCTTTTTTTTTTAATTTGGAATTTCATTGGGTGTGTATTTTCATTTTGTATTCAAGAATATGAAGAGTCTGTTTAGGTTTGCCAGTAGCTACTAATCTAGAAGTTAAGGGGCACAATTATGTAGTCCAAATACCCGTTTCTTGTGCGTTATAGTGAAGGTGGTGAGGGGCCAAGAATACCAAATATAATGCCATGGTCACTTCACTTGTACTTCCAGGCAGTATGGAAAGTGCCACGCCAAGAGCAATTTTGAATTTGTTTCTATCCAGTGTATACATCAGTTTAGTTTTAAGATTCTAATGAATGAGATCTGAGATGGCTAACTGAAGTAGAACAAAAATGGTGCTGAAAAGAGGGTATTATTTTTCCCCCTGAGTATAAGCAGCTATATTATCTTTTGTGTGTTTTTCCAGAAGAGTCTGTCTCAGACTTTAAGTGCCTAACTTGAGATTCATAGAGTCCTGTTTTTACAGGTCCAGAGCATCCATTGCTCAGAATGAAGTGGGTTGAATCTATGGGCACTTGTTATCTTTGGAAAAATCAGAATCAAGGTGTCACAGGTTGGCTGCTAACATATGAGCTGGTTTGAAATTAGCAGAGGCTTTTGTTCCTTGGAGCTAGATTTCATAGACATCAGGGCTGGAAGGGACCTCGGAAGATCATCGAGTCCAGCCCCCCGCCCAAAGGGCAGGAAGTCAGCTGGGGTCATAGGATCCCAGCAAGATAAGCATCCAGTTTCATCTTGAAGGTGTTCAATGAAGGCGCTTGAACCACCTCCGGTGGCAGGCTGTTCCAGACCTTGGGGGCTCGGATAGTAAAGAAGTTCTTCCTTATGTCCAGCCTGAAACGATCTTGAAGTAGTTTATGACCATTCGACCTCGTCATCCCTTGGGGCGCTCTGGTGAACAAACGTTCCCCCAGATGCTGGTGGTCACCCCTGATAAACTTGTAGGTGGCCATCAGATCACCCCTGAGCCTGCGCTTTTCCAGGCTAAAGAGCCCCAGGGCTCTCAGCCTGTCATCGTAGGGTCTGCTTCCCTGACCTCTGATCATGCGTGTGGCTCTTCTCTGGACTCTCTCAAGCTTCTCCACATCCTTTTTGAAGTAGCTAGTTGAAGCTAGTTGTTCTGTAGTTAATACTATTATCATTGTGAGGAATTGTAGCAGCTAGCATATAAGCATTGAGATAAGAATAGCATGAAATATATCAGATGAAAAAGCTGAGGGGAAATTCAGTACAAAAAGCATGGCAAAATGGAAAAAAAGAATAAAATAAACCTTTTCCCCCTTAGAATTGGATAGTCCACTTATTTCTTTGCACAGTCTTTAATTTCTTGGATGTATGACCAGCCTATAAAAATAAATTAAATTTTACCATCTCCATTTCACAATCATTGTAATACTAGTTTAAAAATGCATCTTGATGTTGCAAGGAAATAGAGTGGGTCAGTGTTGTAGAAAAATCCCTTCAGTCGAAAGACCAGTATTTAAAAAGCAAAGAACTAATAATACATGCTTTAATAGTACTTAAAGCTCAATAATTAGAGCTTTGAAGTCCAGAAGTAAGAAGTAAAAGTAGAAAGAAAAATATTTTAAAGTTATTTTACCTTTTTTCACTTCTATTTTCCATACATCATACACAAGAGCTTTGAAGCTTGGCTGAAATATGGTTTAAGACATGAATGAAACTAAAGATGAAAGCATAAGAACAGAATGACCAGAGCAAAGCTCTTAAAACTGTCAAGATGCTGGAGCTACATGTTTTATCGAGAGCGTTAGTAGTAGTCAGAAAAGAGATAATTTGTTGATGATCTATTTATGTCTGGGGAAAATTTTGCAGACTGAAGAACAAATTGATCAGGATTTCGTAAAACATTTTTAGAAAAGTATAGGTTATAATCCAGTTAATATAAAACCAAACTTGATGAAATTGTTTTAAAAACTAAAGAATAAATAACTGCAGAAGCTCAGATTGATTGTCATCTAAACAGTCTCTCTCTTTTTCTGGGAGGAAGTCATTTCTTGATAACTTGCTTGTACACAATTTCTGTAAGATTATATGACTTGGAACCTACTGAATTTGGGGCAGCTGCCCACCATTTCGCAGGCAGAGCCTGGTAGTGGCTGGG